GGATATCCAACCTTTAGAAAGGGCGTATGCCAATACCATGACAATGACGTATCCAACCCAGGAGTAGTATACTAACCCTTTTTTCACGATATCCCGTGAGCGTTAATGGTTTAGTCCTCGCAAGGAACTAACCCCACTACGAGTGGTAGGAAAATTTTAAACCCGCACGGAGTAAGAAAACGTCTACACACTCCACGATACCTGATCAATAGTAGCCCATGTTTATCCAACAACCACACAAGAGATACAATACCAACAATTTCCTCAAATAAGCAACAATTCCATAAATTCCCAATTTCATATATAATATTTCAATAGAACAATTGAAGAAAATGAAAGAGATCATCATTAATATCATTTTGTTGTTCAGTACAAAGTACTAAAATTTTGAAATCAAGAACAAAGAAAAAATCAAGAGAAAAATCAATTTCTCTTGAAAACTAGAGTTTTGAGTCAAGAAGAAGAGATTTAATGGTTATCCCACCATAAATTTGTTTAAAATATGATAGTGTTTGCAAGAATATCAAAAATCAATGATTTACTAACAAATAAATAAGATTTAAAGTCAAAAGAATACATATAAGTAAACCCTAGCCTCAATGAACANAAAAAGAAATAAGATTTAAAGTCAAAAGAATACATATAAGTAAACCCTAGCCTCAATGAACAAGAATGGAAAAAAACTCCTACCTTCTTCTTCCTTAGTATTCTTGAAGAACTTGAGATTTGATCTTTCCCAAACTTGAATCAACCCTTTAATCTTTTGTTTTCCCTTTCTTTCTTCCTCTCTAAGTTTTTCTAGGGTTAAAAATGTTGAAAAAGGGCTTAGGGAGGTGTCCTTAGGTATTTATAGCGGAAGAAATGGTGTCTTGTGCGCGATTTCGAGAGTCAAAATTTGTAACTGACGTTCGAACGTTATTGGTGTTCGAACATCCTTAGCTCCCAGTACTTTGGTTTTTCATCAGACAAAAAGTATTAGAATGCACTGTCATTCGAACGTGAACGTCATTCCTGTTTCTTCTGAAACTTCCAGTGCAGTTTTGGCCTATTTAGAGGTCGATTTAAAAAATTTTCATGACATTCACTTTTGTGACTCTAGAAGTCTAATATCTAATGTAACAATTTCAGATCAAATGAAAATCGGGATAAAAAGTTATAATCCAAATACTAGGCAGTGTCCAAAATCCTTTTTACCCAATTTCTCTCTAAAGTGTGCTTTCATTACAGAGTACTTCCAAACTTCTACAACATACCTTATTACCTCAACTAACATTTTTATTTCTACTCTTACAATCTACACAGTTCATGCATACATCCTTACATAAATTAGCATTTCAAAAACATAATTACATTGTTATATAAAGATACGAATATGGGGGTTTACAAAATATGATGCAAGTAAATATAAATATATTTTCTTATATTGACAACAACAAAAAATTAAAGATTGTTAAATTGTCTAGATTTTATGTTCAATTTTCATCATAAATTGAAGTGTGTGACTCGCAATTACTTGGGGCATTAGATTATTTGTAAATTCATAGATTGTTGAAGCCTCATACGAGTTGCACTTGATAGGGTTAGCTTTTATTTAATTAATAAAATCTTATTTTCGATACAGAAAATAATGTTAAATTGATAGCAGACAAAGATCTGCAGTGATGGATATACCTCATCTTCATACCCGAAATATTTGCAGCTCATGTGCTTCAATTTATGATGAAAAACTGAACGACAGTTTGACTTAACTCTATATTGTTATTAGTTCATAAAATTGACGGTGTAAATTAAAATTTATAATGTTCAAGGGTGCAAATTGAGAATTAGAGTATCTTTTAAACTACAAAATGAGATGAACCCTTTATCGTACTAGTGTCGCGATAACAATGCGCCAGGAACAAACTGTCGAAGGACTTTTCATGTAGACGTTTTTCACTGAAGTTTCGAATGATACTTTTTAGCATAAAAACATACACAAGGCTACAATTAGAAACGGAACCAAAATTTTAAATTGAAAGGTTCAAATAGTGTTACAGTAAGATATTTTACTAACTACAATCTTTCAACAAGTCTATATTAATGTCCATTTTTTACTTGTGTCAAAGTTAACTTTGTAAAAATTAATCTCAATCCAAAGATCGATTATTACTTTCCATAGTAAAAATCAATTTTTGATAATATTACAATCCACTATTCTTTTATATGTCACACGATGTAATAACTATAAATAATTATCATCGTAAATTTTAGTTTGATATAATGGAATTAATAGTGAGTTAGTACATTGCTTATAATATAATTGACAATTGTAATTCTATCTTATAATAATTTCACATTTTATTTGTCAATTGTCAAATTCATTTAAGTACTTTCGTCGGTGAGAGCAATACTCATCTATAAGAGAAAAATATTTCTCTTTGATTATCAAATGTTTGACCATTAAGTTTGTTCAATATATTAGATGAATACTATGTGTATATAAATTTTTAAAATCCAAAGGGCGACATAATATTTTTCAAGAACCAAAGGGGGAATATAATATTTTTAAAAAAATTAAGGGGTCTACCTTGTTGATAAAATTCCTACTTTGTTTAGTGCATATCGTTAGTTCAAAGGGTGAGGCTATTCTTACCCCCACAAATCTCTATTCTCACCTCATTTAATTTCTCATTATTATACTACTAAACACACTCCTTCTATACACACCCCATTACTAATTAAGTCCACCTCATGCTACATACACCCCTTTTAATAAGTAAACTCATTTTATATTTTGTCATAGTTAGGGTTTCATTCTCTATTTCATCTTATGCACTCACAAAATTACTTTTCTTAATATGAATTTTTTTTAGTGAGATATATGTTATTATTACTTCTCAATTTAATTATATATTTGATTTCATGGTTGTTATATGAATTTTCATTTTTTGGTATTTTTTGATATCTTGTCAAGTTTAATAATTTTTTATTTAGAATTTATATGTGTGTGTGTGTGTATATATGCTTTCAAATTATTTGTTATTTTTTATCTTGTTAAGGTTTTGAATCTATAATTGCTATTTTTTTTGTTCGATTATGTGTCTGTACTTGATATTTTGTTTTTCATATTCAGTTTTGTGTCTTGTAGTTTTGCTTGTTCATTTAATTTTCGCTTGATTTTTTTCTTTCCTTTTTTAGTTTGCTTCATTCTTTCTGTTTTTTCCTTATTTCGTTTTTTTATTTTTTTTCATGTTTCAATCTACTTCTTTCTTTTTTTTTTCTCTTGTTTCGTTTTTTTTTCTTGTTTTGGCATGCTTTTTTTTAACTTGTTTCATTTTTGGTAATTTTTTTTCTTGTTTCAATTTTGCTTGGTTCTTTTTTTCTTAATTAGAAAATATATTTATTTATGTAAACTAATTGTCTTCTTTCATTATTTTACGATGATTTCTTTCATTAAAGGGGTGTAAATAGAATTATGTCTGATAATTCTAGATAGACTCTTGAAACCGACACTCGTTTCAACCCGTCAGACCCGTGAAATAAATTAACTGATTTCGTGTTTAACACATAAGCTCGTTTGAACCCATTAACAGTGGTACTATAAATCTTTTTTAAAAATTTAGGTCTCTCAACCTCCGCCTCATCTCATGCTCAACCATGATTTATTGTTATAGTAAACAAGTCAAACATGTAAAATGCGTGGCGAGTTGATGATTTTTTGTGTGGACTCGAAACACTCTAATCTATTCTCTTATTTAGCAGGTGACACATGAGTTATATCGGGTAACCAGTCTAATAAACGATTCGTGTATGAGTGTGATAGTTGGACACATTTATATAAATGAATGAAGTATGGATTAAGGGTTTTTTGACACAAACTCGTTCCACTCGACATGAAACCTTTCCATTCGATAAGATTGTTAGCCCCACATAGAATGAGTGAATTTAACTATTAATGTGATATATGTAGCATGAAATGAGCTTATTTACTAATGGGGGTGGGTATAGAAGGGATGAGTTTAAAAATTTGATAATAAGAAATTAATTGGGCTGAAAATCGAGATTTATGAGGTGGGAATAGCCCCCCACCCTAGTTAGAATTATCTTCTCGACTCACCTTACCCTTGCCCTATGGTTTAACTCAACCTATCAAAAAAAAAACGTGACAACATCATTTGAAATAATATTTTTAAAAATTATATAGATTTAAAAAATAAAATTTGAACTACATTAATTTGAAAAATAAGAATTTTAGGGGCGTGGGTCTCAAAAAAAAAAAAAACTTCAAGAAAGACAACTATTTGGCTTTTGGGTTAATCCTAAATTGCACCCTCAAAAATATAAATCTGTATCAACACTTACTTGAAGCTAATAATTGTCAATTTTCTGTCTATGCTAAATGAATGAGTTATACCTAGATGCTTTCATGTTTATCACTTAATCACCTAAATCCCTCACATTTGAAATATTACATCTACATCCTTTGATAATTCAAATATGACTAAAAATGTTTCCCCAATTGGGCATCCAAATAATTATATTCAAGTGATGTATTGCATCTAATGGTATATCTCTTGATGTATTTCCCCAATTTTTACCAATGGACTTTTGGTCTAATAGTACTCCTTACTTTATGAAATATTTACCTTCTTAAGGTCAATAGTTCAAGTCCCCCTTCCCCTTCTTGAGGTCAATAGTTCAAGGTAAATCACTTGAACATAATAATTCAAATACAAATAATTATGTTCAAGTGATTTACCTTCTTGAGGTCAATCTTCATGGCATTATTATATGAAACATGGCCATGTAATGAACATACAGAGAGTTACAATAGCTTGCACAGTTGAGCTTCATAAGGTGAGAACTGAACGCCTCTTAACCTAGAATAACTGTTTCCAAACACTAGCAAGGAAACACACAGATTTAAGCAACCAAAACTATCACACGAGAGAATGGAGAATGGCATGGACTAAGCATGCCCTATACGCATCGATTAAACGATGATAGTGATGCATACTTACATGTCTCTGACGTGGAAAACATTAGGGTTTTTATTGACAATATCGTACATGTAAACGGAATTGAACTTGGAAAAGTCCTTAGGAAGAGAGATTAAGTCAATAGAAGATTGCTTGTGGAATTGGTAGGGGTCGGGATCGCCACCATAATACCTCTCCCATCCCAAACCTTTCAAGATATCCTCAAGAGAGCAGTAAGATGATACCGTCTGGCGTGTAGGCAAGTGCACCAAAGCCTTTCTCCGAATGGCTCCACCATTATTCTTGAACACCCAAACTCCATACATTATGAGTTTTGGATTTTAAGTAAGTAGATTTTATTTTCAAAAAAGTGAAGATAGTTTCATGTTTTTGAGAGGAAAACTTACAAAGTTCCAAGATTTTAGAGGAAGAGTGTGCTTTTGCTCTTTTGGGTGTTGGAGGAGAATGAAGAGTTTGGAGCATAGAGATGAAGATTGTCGAGGATATATATATGTGACAAGGGATAGGTAAAACAAGAGGAAACTACTCTTGAAGTGGGCTAAAAAGGTGTGATGATAGGCTTGTCTAGCTTTGGTATAGAATCTAGATATTGTGGGACCCATTTGTCTAAACTATGAGGGTACAAGGACATGCCCCTAGGGTGTGATTTAGGGCGCACGAGTGAACCGTAGGTGGGTTGGAAGAATCTTGTGATGGTGTGGGCATTCCTTTATTCTCCATTAGAGAATCTTGAGCATTGGAATGGTGTGCACGTGATAAAATAGTGAAATTTCAAAAGTCAATCAATATATATATTGTGCCCACTTTCATCACAAGGTGTGCACGTGAAGCCAACTGGAGAGGCTTGGAGATATTACCAAAAAGAAAAGTCTTGTATACACACAGACACTAATACACCAAAATACGTACACACACATATAAATTAACAAACCAAAATTCATACATATGAAAACATATTAATACTTGATAATACACCAAAACAAACACACACACACACACACACACACTTATTTTTAGAAATAGTGTATTAGTGTGTGTGTGTGTGTATTATTATGTATTTTTTTGGTGTACTAGTGTGTGTGTTAAAGACTTTGAGAGGAATCTATCTCACAATGAGTATGAGAGAGCCAATGTTTTCAACATTTATAGAGAAAAGTAAAAAATGCATGTAACCCATTTGATGTGATATCCGCCAGTTGACGGACAGATGGAACAAGCCACATTCCTAGCGTACAAAGTGCCATTTTCTTGCGAACATAGTGGTAATCCAATTCAATGTGTTTTCATCACTCATGAAAGACTGAATTAACTGTCGTATGTAGAGGACTGATGTTGTCACAAAAGATTAGTGGTGGCTGTGAGAGAGAGAGATCGAGATCTCGTAAAAGAAACATCAACCAGGTGAGTTCATTAACGGGAGAGGCCATAGAATGATACTCTACGGCACTTGAAGGGGCGACAGTCGACTACTTTTTAGAGCTCCAAGAAATACAGTTGTCGCCTAGAAAAAGCACAAAAACATGTGATGGAATGACGATTGAGAGGACAATCGACCTTATGTATCTATCTATCTATATATATATATCAAGAGTGCTTGAAGCTAATATCACAACCCAAATTGTGCAGTTGCATTGTCCATAGCACAAAATATGTTTGGCAAGTTAGAGGAGCCATGGTGGGAGCAACATAAATTGACAAACAAAATTTATGATGTATGAAAGATTAGGTCTTGTGAATATGAGATACTGCAGACCACCAATAATACTGCGATAATGGGTGGGATTAGGATACAAATAATTAGACAAAGTCAAACTGCATCCTTTGGAGAGCATTAGGGGTAGAAATGGGTTTGGAGGACCCCATATTGGCACGAGCTAAAAGATCTATGGCATAGCGAATTTTGGGAAAGACACAATGCGGTAGCAAGACGATTGACTTTGACATCAAGGAAATGGTGTAGGAAACCCAAGTCTTGATAGAAAATTCATGAGCGATTTGAGTGATAAGCCAATTGATTTGTGATGGGTTACTTCTGGTAACAATGATATCGTCGATGTAATGTAATAAGACAAGAATACCATGTTGTGATTTGCAATTAAACAAACTGGGATTCACATTGCTACAATAAAAACCAAGGGTGAGTAAAAATCACTGAGCCAATCAAACCACGCCTAAGGGGCTTGTTTGAGGTCATATAAGGCAAGACTGAGCTTACACACCTAGGTGGGAAATGAAACATTAACCTATCCAGAAGGTAGTTTCATGTAGACAAGAGTATAGAGCAACCATGAAGGAATGTGTTTTTAACTTCCAATTATGGAATCTCTTAGCCATTGACAACGACAACTGTTATTGTCAACCTTCTAAAATCGATGTGAAAAGAAAGTGTTTGGAGTGCCATCAAGAACATACAGTCCGCTTACGTTTTTTTCCCTTTCGCTACTACCCGATTGGTTTTCAAGTCCTTGGTCACAAACCTATGTTCATCAAATGTAAAAGTAAATGAAAAATCATTAGCAAGCTTGCTAATGGATAACAAATCCTTCTTTATATGCGAAACTAGTAAAACATTTTAAATGTAATGGAGGAATTAGCGGTGTACATGAAGCTTGACCAATATGAATGATAGGCAAGGTCTAACCATTTCCAACCATTACACCATTAGTACCATGATAAGGAGTAAAAGCATTTAGAATAGTTGTATTACTTTGTAATGTGATCCATAGTAACCCAATATCATGGAATCAGGCAAAATCGTGTTTACCCAATATATTTATAGCATCAAGATCTTGTGGAATACTATCAAAAGAGTAGGCATGATTAAATTTGTTAAAGCATTTGAGGTTTGTATGGTTTTCATTTATTATAGATTTGACACACAAGGACATCATCTAGTGCATCTGCTTTGAACGAAGAATTTATTATGGTGTGAGTACTGGTTGTTGGAAGGTAGGGCAGAGGAGTGCTTCTGTCCAGATGAGTTATCCTTGACAAAGCCATGACCTTTAGAAGTGAAGTCGTGTGGTGTGCTAGTGTATGTCGAATTTGGATTGTTCTTCTAGTATTTGTTGGACTATGAATTGTATCATTGGCCATTGAAGCTCATTTGGAGGTCCTGTGGAGCATCAAGATGATAACATTCAACATAACTTTCCAACAGGGTAACAATCTCTAAGTATGGCACACAGGAGGTCGAAGCATCATTGTGGTGAATATCTCATAATCCTAGTCAAGACCATGAAGTAGCCATCATGATTTTTTGCGATCCGCTATAAGTTTGGCAATGGTAGAGAGATTTCCACAAACGGACATATATCAACATAGATAGGCAGCTAATATATCAATCTCTTGCATTACATAAGTAAGTCGTTGTTCAAGAGCGAGGCTAAGATATAACAAAACACTACGGATACAACTTGGGCTGCCCAACTTGAATTCAACCCGAACCCAACTCGAGAAGAATAGGGCTTGGGTTAAGGTTTTTAAAATTTGGGTTGGACTTGGACAGAAAACCACCAACGCCCAATTGAGTTCAGGCAATACCTGGGTTGAGATATTGGGTTACCGGGTTCAATCCGAATGTATAAATTGGGCTCAACCCCAATTCTAAATCGGGTTGAACCCTAATATATAAATCGGGCTCAACTCGAACATATTTAAAAATAAATATATATAAATTAATATAGCAATATGTCTTTATGTTAAACATTGATTTTATGTTTTAAATACTGTGGTATTTATGTTAAACATTTGATTGAAGTTGTTGATTGTTACTTTAGGTGAATACTATATAATATGTACTAGGTTTAGAACAACAGGTTGATTTCAGAATTGAATAAATTCAACTCAAATTCTAGCCCAAATTGCATAACCTGAACCCAATCTCAATTCAACCCAAGCCCACCCAATTTAAACTTGGGCAATACTCGAGTTGAGTATCTTGGGTTGAGTTCGGGTTAGGGTTAAGAATTATATACCTAAGGTTGAGTTAGGGTTAACCCCTAAACCCGCTTAACCCGCCCGAGTTGCACCCCTACAAAACATGAGCAAAGGCATTTTCGAGCTCAACCGTAGTGTCGAAGCTGACGACAATGCCAAGGACTTCTTCGGAGAGAGTGGCAGTAAGACACCCTTTAATGAGACGATTCAATTGTGCCACTTAATAAAATAAGGATTGGGTTAAGAATTACACTCACCATCCATAATATACTTAGGTGGTGACGTGATCTGAACATTTACAAATCCTTGGAGATCATAACTCTCTATGATATTTAACATTTGGGTTTTCCATAGAATAAAATTGGTTGAAGAAAGGCAAAGTGACACAAAATTTGGCAACATTTTGTGTTATTGGGTTGGCATACTTGATAGAATGTGAAAAAGAGAGAGAAGTGTTTGATTATGAAGAGGAGATGGAAGAGCTTGAAGCAGTTGACATGGTGGAATTTTTTTTTTCTTGAAGGACTCTTTCTTGACTCACTATTGCTCTGATACCATAAATATTTTAAGAGGAATCTATCTCATAGTGATTGTGAGAGAACCATTGTATTCGACATTTATAGAGAAAAGTACAAAATGTATGTAACCCATTTGATGGGTACGTACATAGTAATAGGAAATAGATTGTGAAAAGAAAATATGATTAGGAGTTATCATGATAAGAAACTTTAAATTGGTTCTATTATGTGTGTGCGTGTGTCTATGTTTTAGTGTATTAGTATTGGTGTATTTTTTGGGGTACTATTGTGTCTGTGTATGTGTGTGTGCTTGTATTTTGGTGAATTAGCGTGCATGTTTTGGTGCATTAGCGTATGCGTGTGCGCTTTTTTTTTCCCCCGTGTACTAGTGTGTGCTTGTGTGTTTTTGTGTATTTGCATGTGTGGGGGTGATTTTTTTTTTTTGGTGTACTAGTGTGTATGTGTGTGCGTTTTGGTGTATTAATGTGTGTGTGTGTTTTAGTGTATTTGTATGTGTGGGGATTAGTGCTTTTTAGGGTATTAGTATGTGTGTGTGTGGTGTATTAGTGTAATGTGGGGGTGTTTTAGTGTCTGTGTGTAAGTTTTGGTATATTAATGCGTGTGAGTATTTTTTGTAAAATTTGCTTTTAGAAAAAAAAACACTATTTTTCTTATTTTGCTTTTTAAAAGTTCTTTTTTGATACAAAAATGACCACTACTTTTCATGTTTTCCTTAAAGAAAACCAAAAAAAAAAAAAGAGGTAAAAAAAAATAATTTAGAAAAGTGTTACCAAATGGTGCCTTAATTTTTTATTGATTTTAATTTTTGGAGAAAAAAAAAGGCCTTA